CGGCACACATAACATGGTTGAGCAATAGGGAGCCATCCCTTGACTGCACCCAGGCATCGATCAGCCTCCCACTATATCTGTACCAAATGGAAATTCGCCCGGTACAGCTACTGAAGGCTTCACAAACTACGTGGTCAAAATAGATGTTAAATGATGTGGGAGCCAGAGGACATCCCTGTCGCACCCCAAGGTGTACAGGGAATGGCTCTGACTCCCGGCTACGTAGTTTTACCCGGGCCCGCTCACCATCATGAAGGTCCTTAATGATCGTGAGCAGAGGATCAGGGACTCCGAAAGCACGAAGAACAACCCAGAGCCCAGGCCTACTGATGGTATCATAGGCCTTGACCAGGTCAATAAAACAGAGATGTAGGTCTTGTTAGAATTCTCTATACCTCTGCTGTAGCAGACGACGGAAAATATGGCATCTGTGCAGGACCGCCCTTTCCTGAAACCGCATTGGGGCTCCGCAAGCCTCTCCTCAGCGTGGCTAGCAAGGCGATGTTGAATAATCCTTGCCAGGACCTTTCCCGGCACACTGAGAAGTGAGATGCCCTTGTAGTTGTTACAGTCTGTGCGTTCCCCCTCCTTAAAGAGGGGGACCACCAGGGCATCTTTCCAATCCTGCGGAACCCGTCCAGTGGTCCAGACTGTTGTTATGATGTCATATAGGGCAGTCTGTGCACAAACGCCACCCTCCCTCAGCATTTCGCTTGGGAGATCATCTCTGCCCGGTGCCTTTCCTGGTCTCAGACTCCGGATTGCCTTCAGTACTTCCTCAACAGATGGCACCTCAGCCAGCCACTCACAGGGGGTGACTTCTTCCAATATATGAGGCACCGCATCCTCAGCAGGGTCATCCCCGCTTTGTGCCACGTTTTTTCTGGCTGAGGGATTTCCCCTCCCCCAGGACCTCACAGAAATGCTCAGCAAATCTGCAAACCTGTTCCTGGGGTCGAAGATTGCATCACCGTTCTTTCACCTAATGATGGTAATAGGTGTGGCGCTGCAGGTTACTTTTTTGATGGAATTAAAGAGCGATTGGTGATCGCGGGCCATTGAGGCAGACTCTATCTCCTCAGCAACCCGCGACCACGACCCATCCTTGCAACGCCTCACGGCTCTTCGAACCCCCGAGCGAAGGCTTCAGGAAGCCTCCTCATTCTCTGACGTGGGATGCTGTAGACGATCAGAGTTGGCCTAATTTTTTACTTAAAACTTTCGTGACTGCAGGAATTCATATTCTTTGGTTCTTTCGGTAAAGTCACGTAGATAGAAAATAATAAAAAAATAAACTCACGACGTTTCATTCGCAACACAACCGGTCGTAATCAGGCGGAGAGAAAAGTGGGCATGTCGCTTTTTCTCAGCCAGCCTGAACACCTCCTCTGTCAGCCAGGGTCTCTGAGCAGGTCTGGACCGTGTACTCAAAGCAGCCATTGAAGTTGCATGAGCCACAGTACTAAAGCTCGTCCATTTCCCCTCGACATCAGGAGGAGCGGGAGACTATGCCAATCCCAGCCGCAAACGATGATGAAATTCTCGCTTGCAACGTTCATCAGCTAGGTGAGACCATGCCGCTATAGGTTTGAATGGGGTCCTGGGTGTATATCCACCACTGGAGTGGAAGAATTGCAGGCGCATCTTACAGATGACAAGTCGATGATCAGTGGGCAGATCAGCTCCACGGTAGGTCCTGGTGTTAAGGACATGGGCCCGCATCCGCTGTTCTGTCACTCTGTAGTCCAGCAGATGTTCTTGCTTGGACCCAGCATGCATCCATGATGTTGTGTGGATGCGCCAATGCCGGAACAGCGTGTTGGTAATTACAAGCCCATGGGCTGCACAAAAATCGAGCAGCCTGCTACCGTTGTTATTGAGCTGATCTGGTCCATGTCTTCCAATCATTCCAGCCCAGGTGCTAGCATTATGACCAACTCGGGCATTTAAGTCACCCAACAAGATGACTCTATCCCGAGGGGCCACTTTAGCCAGCACCTGTGATAGGAGGTCATAGAAGGCATCTGACTCATCGGCCTTGCCTGTATCCCTCCACGGATGTTCGTCTTCGGTGGGGGCATAAGTAACCACGACCACCACTCTTCGCCTCTGATCGATGGGAAGGCGAGCCCAAAGTAGCCCGGAGCTTACAGCTTCCCACACCTCACCGCCACGCTCCCACGCCCCCTTCATTCTTTTGTTCAGAAGAAGAGGCACTCCCAGTTGTTTGGCAGTCTCCTGCCCCGAGTAGAGGACTGTCCACCCCTCATGGTGGCAGGAGCCAAAGCCGGTCCACCGGACCTCCTGAATACCACAGAGATCCAGGCGGTACCGGTCCAGCTTCGAACAGAGAAGTGGCAGCCTCTCCTCTTCAGTGAGCGTTCGAACATTCCACGTGGCCATCCGAAGTGGCTTTTTATTGTTTCTGGAGGAGCCCCGAGGGTTAGTATTCAGTCTCCTGGCTCCGCCAAATGGGGTTTGGCCAGGACACGTCATAGACGCCTGTCCCCCCGGGGCCTCCGGCTATTTTTAAATTTTTGTCGTCGTGGTTTAGTGGTAGTTAATTGAAGGTGGAGGGGTTACCAGCCCCTCGCATCCGTTCAGAGCCCCCATTTGGCCGCTGTGGTGGTTAAAAACGCCATCAAGAGAAAGGTCAATCTGAAAAGCCCTCCCCCCACGACACTGCCCACCACAGCGTTGCCGTCCGGCACCACGAGGAGGTAGGGGGTTGTTTTCGCCGGACACTCACCCCCACATATATACACACACACTAACCCTCACATACACACACACTAACCCTCACATACACACACACTAAAGCTCACATACACACAACTCACCCTCACATACACACACACTCTCCGTCACATACACACACACACACTCACCATCACATACACACACTCACCCTCACATACATACACTCACCCTCACATACACACACTCTCCGTCATATACACACACTCTCCGTTACATACACACACTCTCACCCGCACATACACACACTAACCCTCACATACACAACAACCGCCATTCGCCACTAATTGACGGTGACGTCACCACGACGCTTGTGCCAGGCCATGTGCACCTTGAGGCCACGTGAAGTGTCGAACGCCCGCTGGCAGGAGGTCACGGGGCAGACCCAGGTGCCACGGGTCGACTGATTGAGATGACTGGCTGGTGCACCACCTGTGCCCCCTACTATGCCAACCTGCTGTGCTTTAGCCACCCGGCGCTCCGCTCGTTGTTGTGAGCGTCGCTCCTCCGCCCTCCGTTGTTGTTGGAGGGCGACTGCCTCCAACTGCCCAGTAGCCTCCTTCACGAGCCTCCTCCACAGAGGCCGATCTTGACACCGCTGGTACCAGTCATCGGCAAGTCCACTCAGCTCCACGTCCTCCTGTACCACATCACTCCATCTCTTCTCTAGCCCGTGCCGCGCCCGTTTAGCCCCCTCGATCCGGCCGAACAAAAGCTGTTTCGGCATGCGGTGGCTGGGCATGCGGGCTACATGACCCAGCCAACGCAGCCTTGCCTGCCGGAGGAGTTCACCGATGGGACCGTGCCCAGATCTTTCAAGGATTTGTGAGCTCTTCACACAATCCAGCCTGATTAAACCCAGGATGGATCGTAGGCAGACTAGCCTAAATGTTTATAACCGGCGAAGATGTTCCATTAGGGGGGTCCACGTTTCGCAAGCGTAGAGAAGGGAGGGAAGGACCGTGGCCGAGAAGACCTGAAGCTTAGTGCGGAGCGACAGACCAGGTAGCTTCCACACAGCGTTATGCAACCGATGAAAAGATATTGCCGTTCGACTGATTCAGAGTGAGACCTCTGCTGTTAAACTGGAGCCGGTCATAAGCACACTGCCCAGGTATGGGAAACTCTCCACTCTCTCCACAACTGCCCCATCACCGATTGGGAGTTGTGGGGGTAGAGTGTCCGATGGTACAAAACACCCAGGCAGGTGCTTAGTTTTGGTGGGGCTGATGGTAAGGCCCCACTTCTTAGTGGCACGCTCCAGTCTCAGCAGCAGCGTCTCCAACTCCTCCTCTGAATGAGCGGCTATTACCAAATCATCGGCATACATAACGTGGTTGACCAATACACACACTAACCCTCACATACACACACTCACCCTCACATACACACACTCTCACCCGCACATACACACTCTCACCCTCACATACACACACTCTCACCATCACATATACACACTAACCCTCACATACATACACACACTCACCCTCACATACCCACACTCTCCGTCACATACACACACTCTCCATTACATACACACACTCTCACCCGCACATACACACACTCTCACCATCACATACACACACTAACCCTCACATACACACACTAACCCTCACATACCTACACACACTCACCCTCACATACATACACTCTCCGTCACATACACACACTTTCACCCGCACATATGAGCAAACGCGCGCACACAGATTTCACACAATCCGGTTTCTCCACCCCCACATCCCATCCCCCGACCTCGCTTCCTCTTGCCCTGGTACCCGGTGGTGATGGTGGGGTTGATGATGATGATGAAAGTGGTGGTGCTGATGGCGATGGGAGTGGAGGTGGTAGTGTTGGTGCTGCTGATGAAGATGATAGTGATGGTGTTCGTCCTCGTCCCCTCGTGTCGGACGGACGTGAACCCACGTGGAACCAACCACCTGCGCTGGAGCATTCGTGCCCCTTCTCGTGACCACGTGGATGATGAGCATTGCGGTTGTGATGGGTCTGTAGGATTTGGTCACCATAGCAACCCCATTATATCTCGAAACCCCCCACGCACAGCCCCTCTGCCCACTGCACCCAGAGCCCTCACCCCAGCCTCGATCCGTGGGTGACGTGCGCGGTAATGCGCTCGCAATTGAGTCGCAATTAAGCTGATTAGCCTCGTGGGGGGGGGGGGGGGGGCGGGGCAGGAAGGATTAAAGCGCCTTGACAGGTTGCGCTCCCCCTGCCCCCCACAACTCTCCTCTCCCCCCTCATCCCGCACCCCCTCTCCCGCCACTATTTGTGCCGTGGGAGCGCGCAAACGGCAGAGACACGCGGGGGGCACAGGCGAGACGCAGGGAAGAGGTGAGTGTGGTGAGTGGGGTGAGGTGAGTGTGGTGAGTGGGGTGTGGTGAGGTGAGTGTGGTGAGGTGAGTGTGGTGAGTGGGGTGTGGTGAGGTGAGTGTGGTGAGGTGAGTGGGGCAAGGTGAGTGGGGTGAGGTGAGTGTGGTGAGTGTGGTGAGTGGGGTGAGGTGAGTGTGGTGAGTGTGGTGAGTGGGGCAAGGTGAGTGTGGTGAGGTGAATGTGGTGAGTGGGGCAAGGTGAGTGTGGTGAGGTGAGTGTGGTGAGTGGGGCAAGGTGAGTGTGGTGAGGTGAGTGTGGTGAGTGTGGTGAGTGTGGTGTGGTGAGTGTGGTGAGTGTGGTGAGTGGGGCAAGGTGAGTGTGGTGAGGTGAGTGTGGTGAGTGTGGTGAATGTGATTAGGTGAGTGTGGTGAGTGTGGTGAGTGAGGTGAGTGTGGTGAGGTGAGTGTGGTGAGTGTGGTGAATGTGATGAGGTGAGTGTGGTGAGTGTGGTGTGGTGAGGTGAGTGTGGTGAGGTGAGTGTGGTGAGGTGAGTGTGGTGAATGTGGTGAGGTAAGTGTGGTGAGTGTGGTGAGTGTGGTGAGTGGGGCAAGGTGAGTGTGGTGAGGTGAGTGTGGTGAGTGAGGTGAGTGTGGTGAGGTGAGTGTGGTGAGTGTGGTGAGGTGAGTGTGGTGAGGTGAGTGTGGTGTGGTGAGGTGAGTGTGGTGAGGTGAATGTGGTGAGTGCGGTGAGGTGAGTGTGGTGAGGTGAGTGCGGTGAGGTGAGGTGAGTGTGGTGAGGTGAGTGGGGCAAGGTGAGGGGTGAGTGAGGAGTTTGGTGAGGTGAGTGGGGCAAGGTGAGGGGTGAGTGAGGAGTTTGGTGAGGAGTGGATAGCTTATTGGTGCGGATCACAAAAAATGGTGAAGTGATATCTGATGTGTGCGTGGTGAGTGAGGGGTGATGTTTAGAGTGAGGAGTGTAGGTGGTGAGGTGCGTGGTGAGTGAGGGGTGATGTTTAGAGTGAGGAGTGTTGGTGGTGAGGTGCGTGGTGAGTGAGGGGTGAGTGAGGGGTGAGTGAGGGGTGATGTTTAGAGTGAGGAGTGTAGGTGGTGAGGTGAGTGGTGAGGTGTGGGGTGATGTTTAGAGTGAGGAGTGTTGGTGGTGAGGTGCGTGGTGAGTGAGGGGTGATGTTTAGAGTGAGGAGTGTCGGTGATGAGGTGAGTGGTGAGTGAGGGGTAATGTTTAGAGTGAGGAGTGTTGGTGGTGAGGTGCGTGGTGAGTGAGGGGTGATGTTTAGAGTGATGAGTGTAGGTGATGACGTGAGTGGTGAGTGAGGGGTGATGTCTGGAGTGAGGAGTGTAGGTGGTGAGGTGAGTGGTGAGTGAGGGGTGATATTTACAGTGAGGAGTGTAGGTGGTGAGGTGCGTGGTGAGGCGAGTGGTGATGTCTGGATATTGGATTTTGTTGGAGTGGAACTCCAGAGCTGTCACGTTAAGGGAAATGGGTTGGGGGGGGGGGGGCGCGGAGTCTAGGGGGGGGGGCACTTGAAGGTGCATGCTGTACAAAGCGGATGCTTGGTGTGTGTGTGGAGAGTGGTCCCGGCCACACCATCCCCTCCGTGCGCCGTGTCGGCCTTCACCGCTGTGCTACCAGCTCGCGGCACTTGCCTCGACATTCTCGTCGCGCTCTGCTGGGGCAGAGGGTGGGGGGCGACGATGGCGAGCGACGCGGGCGAGAAGGCGAACTTCTACTGGAGCAGCGGGGAGGAGGACGAGGGGACCCCCGGTGCCGAGGGCCACGGGCTAGGGGACCCCGCCGACCAAGGGGCTCCTGACGCCCTCCAAGTGCCCGAGGAGGACATCAACCTGGAGGGGTCTGCGGTACACACAGGTATGGGACGAGAGCCGATAGCACCTGCGTGACACCTGTCATTAGGTCCACGACACGTGACCCGGCGAGCGAAGACGTCGATCGTGGAGGTGACGCGGCCCGGCGGTGGAGAGTTTCCCCATCGCTGCAGTGGTTCGCGGTTCGAACCCGGCAGGCCGCCCTGGTGAATGTCGCGGTGGGAAGTGTCCGCGGTATATTCCGCGCCGTCTGCTTCACAGCCGACGTCAAAGATCTCGTGACGTCGCGTGGAATGAGTGAGGCCATTGTGTGGCGGCGTCGCGGTCCAAGTTTGCAAAACATTCGACAAACGACCCCGCAAATGACCGCTCGGTTGGGATCACGCACGCGCAGCAACACCGCCCCCCTCCTACGAGCGCCTTCATTGCTCGCCGGCAGCTCAGGTGCTGGAGTCTCCGTGCGTGGCACAGGGACGACCGCAGCTGCCACTTGGGGTGCCCTTTCCAATGTGTTGAGAAGAGAAGCGACGAGGCAAGTCGCAGTGGTTGGCGCAGTGTCCTACGAAGCCGGCCACTCGAGTTCACTTCACGCACATCAGCGACGAATATCTGAACCTGTCCTGGGCCTCCCTTGGGTCAACTCAGCCTTGAGAACGAGTACCTGGTTCGTTGTGTGCGAGACGGCCGGGCGTGGTACCGGCCACCCACCCCTTCGTGTGCCGTGTTGACCTTCATAGGTGCTGCTCGCTAACAACACTTGCCTCAAACATCCGTTAAGGCTATCGGGGGGATATTTGTCATTGCCTTTATAATGGAGGACCCCCGCTCACCCCCGCAGGGCCCAAGGGGGTGATCACGGACTGGCGGCGCTACAAGGTGCTGGAGAGCGTGGAGAAGGAGGACGACCCCGCGGACGAGAAACGGAAGCTCATGAAGCAGATGTCCGTGTCGTGTCGCCCTCTCACGGCCGAGGAGCGGAGACGCGCGGACATCCAGGAGCAGCTGCGACGCAAGGTGACACCTCCACGAGAGGGGGGCTGGGGGCGAGTCCCCTTTCTGGGGGGGCTGGGGGCGAATCCCCTTTCTGGGGGGGGGGGTTGGGGGCGAGTCCCCTTTCTGGGGGGGGGCGGCGAGTCCCCTTTCTGGGGGGGGGGGGGCGGCGAGTCCCCTTTCTGGGGGGGGGCGAGTTCCCTTTCTGGGGGGGCTGGGGGGCGAGTCCCCTTTCTGAGGGGGAGCTGGGGGCGAGTCCCCTTTCTGGGGGGGGGCGGCGAGTCCCCTTTCTGGGGGGGGCGAGTCCCCTTTCTGGGGGGGGCGAGTCCCCTTTCTGGGGGGGGGCGGCGAGTCCCCTTTCTGGGGGGGGGCGAGTCCCCTTTTTGGGGGGGGGCGAGTCCCCTTTCTGGGGGGGGCGAGTCCCCTTTCTGGGGGGGGGCTGCGAGTCCTCTTTCTGGGGGGGGGGGGGCGAGGGGAGGGGTCACTTTTTGAGGTTCGCTTTTATCGAAATGCCAATTTTTGGGGTCGTAACTTTTTGTCAGCTGTATGGATGAGGAGAATAACCGGAAAAAGCAAACAGAGTAAAAGCTGAACGTGACGCAAAGAGGCAGTGAGAGAGATAGGGGGGGAGAATGAGAGAGGAAGTGACGGGGGGAGACGACGCGAGCCGTTCTGGAGCAGGACCAAGAATCGCGCGGCACGGTTCGGGTCCGACTTCCCACCGTCATGGAAACATCATCGCACCAACACCACCCGTGCTCCGCGTTGGAGTGGTGGAGGTGGCCTCCACGTGGACGTGGTGGTGGCCGCTACCAAGGGTTCGAGTACTTCGTGATTGTTATGGTTCCGCGTGTTTACCCAGGAGAGCCTCGCCGAGTCTCACGACTCGTCCTCAGGAGGGTCCTGCCAAGTATTTGCAGTCGGGGAGCGATGCTGCTGAGCGACTTGCAGGGACTGATGTCCAAATGCATCCCCCACCCCCTCTCCGCGCAGCTGAGCATCCGCGAGTCGGTGCTGGTGGCCGAGCAGGAGGACGAGGCCTTCCTACGGCGCTACCGCCAGAAGCGCATGGAGGAGATGCGACGTCGCCTGAGCTTCGGGCCCCGGTTCGGCTCCTGCCAGGGGCTGGAGAGCGGCGAGGAGTTCCTGGCGGCCATCGAGTGCGAGGCGCGCACCAACACGCTGGTGCTCGTGCACGTGTTCGAGGACGAGGTGAGCGGCTGCGCGGCTCTCAACTCGTGCCTCGAGTGCCTGGCCATGATGTACCCGCTCGCAAAGTTCTGCCGCATCCGCGCCGCGGACACGGGCGCCTCCGAGCGGTTCCCGGCCGAGGTGCTGCCCGCGATCCTCGTGTACCGCGCCGGGGAGCTCATCGCGAATTTCGTTCGCCTCTCGAGCCTGTTGGGCACCCAGTGCCTGGCGCAGGAGGCCGAAGCGTTCCTCAACGCCTACAGCCTCCTGCCCGAGAAGGAGACGGCGGGTCCCGACGAGGACGAGGAGGAGAGGGAGGGGATGAGCCGAGGGCACGCCCAGGGGGAGGAGGGGGAAGAGGGGGGGGGAGGAGGACCAGGGCCGGATGGGAGAAGAGCCGGACGATGATTGAGAGTGCGATGAAGGAGGAGGAGGAGATGAGGCGGGGCCAGGAGGAGGAGATGGGACCAGAGTGAGACGATGATGAAGCGGTGAGGCGTAACGAGGTTATGGGGGGGGAGGGGGGAGGAGGACGGAAAGAGAGGGGAGCGTGGAGGTCCCAGCTCAGGGCAAAAGAGAGGGGAAGGGGGCACGAGAGGGGGGGCACGAGAGAGGGGGGGGCACGAGAGAGGGGGGGCACGAGAGGGGGAGGGCATGAGAGGGGGGGGCACGAGAGGGGGGAGGGGCACGAGAGGGGGGGCACGAGAAGGGGGGGCACGAGAGGGGGGGCACGAGAGGGGGGGGAGGGGCACGAGAGGGGGGGCACGAGAGGGGGGAGGGGCACGAGAGAGGGGGGGCACGAGAGAGGGGGGAGGGGGCACGAGAGGGGGGGGGTGTGGGAGGGCCGGGGCGAGTGAAGGATGAGACATTGAGATGGAGGGATGGAGAGGGGTTTCGGCATGCAAGGGTCGGGGTTGGAATAGATGGAGGAGGGATGAGGAGTGGATGGAGAGAGGAGTGGATGGAGAGAGGAGTGGATGGAGAGGAGTGGATGGAGAGAGGAGTGGATGGAGAGGAGTGGATGGAGAGAGGAGTGGATGGAGAGAGGAGTGGATGGAGAGAGGAGTGGATGGAGAGAGGAGTGGATGGAGAGAGGAGTGGATGGAGAGAGGAGTGGATGGAGAGAGGAGTGGATGGAGAGAGGAGTGGATGGAGAGAGGAGTGGATGGAGAGAGGAGTGGATGGAGAGAGGAGTGGATGGAGAGAGGAGTGGATGGAGAGAGGAGTGGATGGAGAGAGGAGTGGATGGAGGGAGGCGGAGGATTTGGTGGAGGCGTGGAGGGTCACGTGGATGGAGGGAGCGTTTGGCGAGGGGGTGGGGGCTGTAATTTCCCGCACACACACAGGTAGCACACACACACCGGTAGCACACACACAGGTAGCACACACACACAGGTAGCACACACACAGGTAGCACACATACAGGCAGCACACATCACAGGTAGCACACACACAGGTAGCACACACACACACACAGACAGCACACATACAGGCAGCACACACACACACACACACAGGTAGCACACACAGGTAGTGCACACACACACAGGTAGCACACACACAGGTAGCACACACACAGGTAGCACACACACGTACAGGTAGCACACACACAGGTAGCACACACACAGGCAGCACACAGACACACAGGTAGCACACACACACAGGTAGCACACACACAGGTAGCACACACACACAGGCAGCACACACACAGGTAGCACATATAGGCAGCACACACACGCACAGGTAGCACGCACACACACAGGTAGCGCGCACACACACAGGTAGCACACACACAGGTAGCACACACACACACACAGGTAGCACACACAGACAGGTAGCACACACACACAGGGAGCACACATACAGGTAGCACACACACAGATACCACACACACAGGTAGCACACACACACAGGCAGCACACACACAGGTAGGACACACACACAGGTAGCACACACACAGGTAGCACACGCACACACACAGGCAGCACACACACACACAGGTAGCACACACACAGGTAGCACACACAGGTAACACACAGACAGGTAGCACACACACAGGTAGCACACACACAGATAGCATACACACAGGTAACACACACACAGGTAGCACACACACAGGACACACACACACAGATAGCACACACACACACAGGACACACACACACAGGTCACACACACACACAGGTAGGACACACACACAGGTCACACACACACACACAGGTAGCACACACACAGGTAGCACACACACACAGGTAGCACCCACACACACACACAGGTAACACCACACACACAAGTAACACACACACAGGTAACACACACACAGGTCACACAAACACACACACACAGGTAGCACACACACAGGTGTTTAACGTCGCTGCCACAGCTCTAGCGGGTGCCACCCTGCAACAAGATCGGGATTTGTACCCCACGAACCACTCCCGCTGCTGCTCCCTCTTCACTACTGCTGCTCCCTCTTCACTACTGCTGCTGCCCTCTTCACTACTGCTGCTGCTCCCTCTTCACTACTGCTGCTGCTCTCTTCACTACTGCTGCTCCCTCTTCACTACTGCTGCTCCCTCTTCACTACTGCTGCTGCTCCCTCTTCACTACTGCTGCTGCTCCCTCTTCACTACTACTGCTGCTCCCTCTTCACTACTGCTGCTCCCTCTTCACTACTACTGCTGCTCCCTCTTCACTACTGCTGCTGCTCCCTCTTCACTACTGCTGCTGCTCTCTTCACTACTGCTGCTCCCTCTTCACTACTGCTGCTCCCTCTTCACTACTGCTGCTGCTCCCTCTTCACTACTGCTGCTCCCTCTTCACTACTGCTGCTCTCTTCACTACTGCTGCTGCTCCCTCTTCACTGCTGCTGCTCCCTCTTCACTACTGCTGCTCCCTCTTCACTACTGCTGCTCTCTTCACTACTGCTGCTGCTCCCTCTTCACTACTGCTGCTCCCTCTTCACTACTGCTGCTGCTCCCTCTTCACTACTGCTGCTGCCTCTTCACTACTGCTGCTGCCCTCTTCACTACTGCTGCTCCCTCTTCACTACTGCTGCTCCCTCTTCACTACTGCTGCTGCTCCCTCTTCACTACTGCTGCTCCCTCTTCACTACTGCTGTTGCCCTCTTCACTACTGCTGCTGCCCTCTTCACTACTGCTGCTGCCCTCTTCACTACTGCTGCTGCTGCCCTCTTCACTACTGCTGCTCCCTCTTCACTACTACTGCTGCTCCCTCTTCACTACTGCTGCTGCTCCCTCTTCACTACTACTGCTGCTCCCTCTTCACTACTGCTGCTCCCTCTTCACTACTACTGCTGCTCCCTCTTCACTACTGCTGCTCCCTCTTCACTACTACTGCTGCTCCCTCTTCACTACTGCTGCTCCCTCTTCACTACTACTGCTGCTCCCTCTTCACTACTGCTGCTGCTCCCTCTTCACTACTGCTGCTGCCTCTTCACTACTGCTGCTGCCCTCTTCACTACTGCTGCTCCCTCTTCACTACTGCTGCTCCCTCTTCACTACTGCTGCTCCCTCTTCACTACTGCTGCTCCCTCTTCACTACTGCTGCTCCCTATTCACTACTGCTGTTGCCCTCTTCACTACTGCTGCTCCCTCTTCACTACTGTTGCCCTCTTCACTACTGCTGCTCCCTCTTCACTACTGCTGCTCCCTCTTCACTACTGCTGCTGCCCTCTTCACTACTGCTGCTCCCTCTTCACTACTGCTGCTCCCTCTTCACTACTGCTGCTGCCCTCTTCACTACTGCTGCTCCCTCTTCACTACTGCTGCCCTCTTCACTACTGCTGCTCCCTCTTCACTACTGCTGCTGCTCCCTCTTCACTACTGCTGCTGCTCCCTCTTCACTACTACTGCTGCTCCCTCTTCACTACTGCTGCTCCCTCTTCACTACTACTGCTGCTCCCTCTTCACTACTGCTGCTGCTCCCTCTTCACTACTGCTGCTGCTCTCTTCACTACTGCTGCTCCCTCTTCACTACTGCTGCTGCTCCCTCTTCACTACTGCTGCTCCCTCTTCACTACTGCTGCTCTCTTCACTACTGCTGCTGCTCCCTCTTCACTACTGCTGCTCCCTCTTCACTACTGCTGCTGCTCCCTCTTCACTACTGCTGCTGCCTCTTCACTACTGCTGCTGCCCTCTTCACTACTGCTGCTCCCTCTTCACTACTGCTGCTCCCTCTTCACTACTGCTGCTGCTCCCTCTTCACTACTGCTGCTCCCTCTTCACTACTGCTGTTGCCCTCTTCACTACTGCTGCTGCCCTCTTCACTACTGCTGCTGCCCTCTTCACTACTGCTGCTGCTGCCCTCTTCACTACTGCTGCTCCCTCTTCACTACTACTGCTGCTCCCTCTTCACTACTGCTGCTGCTCCCTCTTCACTACTACTGCTGCTCCCTCTTCACTACTGCTGCTCCCTCTTCACTACTACTGCTGCTCCCTCTTCACTACTGCTGCTCCCTCTTCACTACTACTGCTGCTCCCTCTTCACTACTGCTGCTCCCTCTTCACTACTACTGCTGCTCCCTCTTCACTACTGCTGCTGCTCCCTCTTCACTACTGCTGCTGCCTCTTCACTACTGCTGCTGCCCTCTTCACTACTGCTGCTCCCTCTTCACTACTGCTGCTCCCTCTTCACTACTGCTGCTCCCTCTTCACTACTGCTGCTCCCTCTTCACTACTGCTGCTCCCTATTCACTACTGCTGTTGCCCTCTTCACTACTGCTGCTCCCTCTTCACTACTGTTGCCCTCTTCACTACTGCTGCTCCCTCTTCACTACTGCTGCTCCCTCTTCACTACTGCTGCTGCCCTCTTCACTACTGCTGCTCCCTCTTCACTACTGCTGCTCCCTCTTCACTACTGCTGCTGCCCTCTTCACTACTGCTGCTCCCTCTTCACTACTGCTGCCCTCTTCACTACTGCTGCTCCCTCTTCACTACTGCTGCTCCCTCTTCACTACTGCTGCTCCCTCTTCACTACTGCTGCTCCCTCTTCACTACTGCTGCTCCCTCTTCACTACTGCTGCTCCCTCTTCACTACTGCTGCTGCTCCCTCTTCACTGCTGCTGCTGCTCTCACTTTCCGACCGCTGCGAGCGATGGTGTTGTTGTAATTTTAATTTTCATTGACACAGCGAATCACAATTGTTAAAACTCAGTAATATTGACTTCTTCTTTTGCAACGTACGTAGCCAACCGTGCTAATGGGCTACAGCTCCCCCAGTCCCCTCGGCTATAGCACCGGGCCCACAGTGGGGGGCCCGAGGTGCCCCCCCCCCACGACGTTGGTCTTCCCTCGCCCCAGAGAACCTCGCCGAGTCTCCTTTTCTGGGGGGTTTGGCCTCGTGTCGGGGGAGACCCCCCCTCCTCCTCGCGTACACACAAGGGGGGGGGGGGGGGTAACTCACTCAAAGCTCTGCACAGATGGATTCATTAATTGGGTGAGTTCACAATGCCGCTATTCGTAATGCGCGAAGTGGGGGCACCTGATGACATCGACCCGGGGATTTGGGCTCCGTCTTAGGGGGTGGGGGTAGAGGGCCACCGCCTCCCATCACGGGAACGAAGCAGCAGCAGTAGCAGGTGGGGGCCTGGCGGTGTGACGAGTGGATGGATGAGCAGGGAAGCAGGGGGAGGCTCTGCTGGTGCCCCGTAATGAATAACGTGGACGGGGGGGGGGGGGCATAGCAATCTCGCCCGAGCCCCCCAAGAACCTCTTGGCGGCCCTGTCACTGTGATCTGTGATCCACCAACGCTGGCGTCCACAAGCACTTGAATCGTGTCGCTTCGGGGAAATCTTAAGACTCCGAAGGGGGACCACACCCCCCCCTCCAGCCCAGCGATTGTCGTCACCACTCCGGTAAATCGCGCTCACCAGTGAGCGCGATTTACCGGCGTGGTGACGATGGCTGAGCTGCTCACCGGTGAGCAGTATTTACCGGCGTAGTGACGATGGCTGAGCTGCTCACCAGTGAGCAGTATTTACCGGCGTGGTGACGATGGCTGAGCTGCTCACCAGTGAGCAGTATTTACCGGCGTGGTGACGATGGCTGGGCTGCTCACCAGTGAGCAGTATTTACCGGCGTGGTGACGATGGCTGAGCTGCTCACCAGTGAGCAGTATTTACCGGCGTGGTGACGATGGCTGAGTTGCTCACCAGTGAGCAGTATTTACCGGCGTGGTGACGATGGCTGAGCTGCTCACCGGTGAGCACTGCTCAATTAGCAGTAATTGGCTTGGACCCCGCACCCCTCCTCCACGTGGCCCCGAGGGATTGGGACGTGCGGTGTGGGGAGGGCACCGGGGGCCGTTTTGGGACTGCCCTCGCTCCCCTTCAACTGGCCAGAGGGTGTCATCTGGCTTCCTGGGGGAGGGGGCTTCCCCAAAACGTCGAGGTTTCAAAACAGGGCTCTACATTAACATGAATCATACTATTACAGATAAGCTATGCCTCGAGCATCCTGGCTGGCTGCTGGCTGGGCTCCTCTCGACGTCAACAATACCACGCGTAACGTGCTATGTAGATACAATGTATACAGTTCGAAATGCAAATAAATGATATACGTCGAATTCTCGTTTATACATTCTTTCTACGAGAGGCTCCCAGTTACCAAGACCACTCGCTCACTCACGAGGACAAAGACCCCGCGCGTAGCTTTAACAGGCTCTTGGGGAAAGTGTTGCGAGCACGCACTGCTGAAGGCCGACACGGCACACGATGGGGCTGGTGACCAACACCAGGCCCGGCCGCCTTTGTCTCCCCAGTGGCGATGTTTACTCCGCACTGGACTAGGTACTCATTTGAGGCCGAATCGACACAGGGCCGCTTCAGATAATCGTCACTGGTGTTGGTGGCCGAGTGGGGTTCGTGCCTCTGCACTACCGCTGCCCATCAAGACCACTCACCCGCCAACACCATTCGAGATCTCACAAGTAGGGGGGGGGGACGATGCTTGCTGCGGTCATCCCAATTGAGAAATGCGCGGCGGCGTCGTGCTAATTAGGCCCCAGGCCTCTGCAACAGGCGAAGGATGCGCGCCGCCGGTGGCCGTGCCAGTGGCACTGTCTGCTGCTGCTGCAGGGCGCCTGGCAGTGGGGGCCCGGACGCCTTGGGTGCAGTGCTAGGGGAGGGGGGCTGCCTCACCTGCAGGCAACCCGGACTCGTCTCTTGCACCGGCTAGTGAGCGGAGTGAGCTCCCAAGATGCTTTCCAGGGGAATTGCCGAGGCCACATTCAGGTGATCGAGCCGCTTTGGATAAAGGTGAGCCGACTCGTGTGGTTAACTCTGATGTGCTTCTCTCATCGCAATGGCGATCGTGTCAGGCTAGGTGCACAGAGGCCACGAAGTGTTGAAGGCTCGATGGCAAGTCAAGAGACAGGCCCAGGTGATGGCCAAGATGCACATACCCAACGTGTTACACTCACGGACGCACGAAGATGTTGGGTGTAGCCTCCAGGCTTTTGGGGAAAGTGCTGCGAGCGCCTATTGTGGCTGTCACGAGTGGGTAGTGGGCAGCACCACGCCTGGCCACCTTTACCTCTCAGTGCCGTTAACACACCAAGTACTCATTTATGGCTGAGTCTATCTAGGGGGAAGCCCAGCAGAGGCTCAAATAGTGATCGTTGGAATACAACTCCTATCACCCGGTTCGTAGTGCACTGCAGATGAACATGCACACACACACACGTCAACAACAACCGCCATTCGTCACCACGGTGCTTCTACCAGGCGAGGTGCACATGACCACGGAACTAGCACACACATGCATGTACACACACACACGTGCATGTACACACACACACACGCGCGTGCACGCACACTGCCACAATAGTGGGAGCTGAAGGGTTTTATTTCCGCGAGTGAACGTGGCGGTGGTGGTGGCCAGGGACGGCTTATGCCGCCTTGGTGCCACGTGGCCGGCGCGCCTGCTTCTTCACCTCCTTCACCGGCTTTTGGCTCTTGAGGATGGCGCTAGCGCGGCGAAGGGCGGCCTGGACACACGAGGGCACACACACACACGCAAATCATCTTTCATCGTCAGCTACAACAGTGCTGTCAATCTACAATAGCCAGGAGGTGGCTCCCAAGCTTAGCTCCTCAGTGAGCAGTGATTACCAGGCCATCAGCATAGGCAGTTGTGGCACGTGTATAGGTACACACACCACCACCTCTGCCGCCACAATCTCACGTGCACAGCTGTTACAACGTCCCCTCTCTCACCCACACCCGTTTACACAAACAATTCAGTTTCGCTCAATCCACGAATGGATGAGAGCCTCAAGCCGTCGCCATCTCTCACGGCCTTGCAATGCGACAATACATCTGGAACCTGTGCATGAGCCGAGTTCATCGCTCCATCTCCAAGATGGACGTCCTCTCGGGCAGGTTCCCTCCTTCGGCTGCCATTTCGACGAGAGCCTCGATCACCGGCCGTCATCCCTCCCAGGCACGTATCGGGCCCAAGCCCTGTCGTGTACCACTACATCTTTAACCCGCGTCTTATCCAATCCACGCTGTTCTCGGCCGCAATACTCCCACGTGTGCAGACCGCCGCTCACCATGCGCAGGTCGGGGCGGTACTTGTTCTTGCGGATGACGTGGCGGATGCTGCTGAGCGTGGAGCGCGCGTCCTTGTTGATCACCGTGCGCACGTAGCTGCTGCCGGGCTTGCGCTGATCTGCAAGGGGCGATGGCGGCGTGGTTAACATTGCCGTTAAAATATTATTTGCTCCTGCACAGGGTGCGCCAAAAATGACGAACCATACTCGTGCACGGTGACCACCACGATTTACCGATTTTTAGGTGAGGCCACGTGATGATCTGACACGGTCATACAAATGAAGATACCACCTGCACCAGAGTTTAACGCATCAATTGTTTTAGCTGCCCGGTAAGTTGAACGATCTTCACATTCAAAATATCAATTAGATATGCGATGTTCCATTTGGAACTGCGTCAAACACCATGAGGACAAGAGTCCACAAGTGAGAAAGTATTATTCTGCCTGCTGCATAGACCCAGGCGTTAAGGGAACCAGCACTGCAGGTCACCTCACTTCTCTCTCGGCTTCTTCCCTCGCAATGGTCCACTCTGAAATTCCCTCCTTCCATCATCATCTCATTCCCAAAGCTTTTATAATCATAACCTTGCTCAAATAAATGTGATAATTTATCTTTTGCAATTTTGACGGTGCCGTTGATTGACAGTGCTGTTTGTTACTGGCTGCATGGTATTTTGGGCCTGCGCTCAGCAACTCTGCAAAAGTGTCTAACAGCGCATTCTGGACGAGCGTACCAAATGCGTGTCCCCACGCTCGCACGGCTAGACACGTCCAAATCTATCTCGGCAGGACCCGGCTCGTATTTTAAATCATCTACAGATGCACGCCACGTTCCTCACATCGCAACAAATCACGACTCTTTGCCAAAGCCCGATACAGCGCTCGTCGTGCATCTCACGGCGCTTTCAAATTTAAAACAAGACTCAAAGAACATCGGTCAATCAATCCAAATCAAAACAAATACCGTGTCACGTTTGGTAAAACAGATTTGGTCGTTGGGCGTTTGGTTGCGGAGGGCATTGAGAACGGCGCTGGTGAGCGATTGCCCGCGATGCTGCCGCCAACGCGGTAAGGGCGCGCCCGGACGCCATCGTCGCGTCTCCAGGATTAGGTCGCGGCTGAAGGTTCGGGGTCTCCAGCGGTGTCCTCTACGCCCGCTGTGCGCCGCTGCCGTAGTCGCCCGTCAAGGTTGCCGCGGGCTAAGCCCGGCACGCTAAGACCGCGGAGCTGCGTTTTAAGAGGCTTTGAGGATTTATTCTTCTCCAGAAGCTGTGCGTAAAAATCACGCTCGTGAGCATCAGCCCGCGAGCCTGGCTTTTCTTTTGATTTTCAAGCGGACCCAGGGCGATTATTTCAAATATCTCTGCGGTTGTTTACAGCCACCAGAAATAGGGGGCCCAATGTCTCTCTTAATTAAATCTGACGTGGTAGCCCTCACATAAGACAGACCACCAGTAAACGTGTTATTGAAACACCCACCACTCGGATAGGGTAGTCAATGCTAGGCATGTAACAAGGCCTTAATTTCTCAATAAAGTTTCCGGTTCATTGTTGATGGACTGGAGTAGGTGATACGTGCCTAGTAGGCAAGACGAGGTAGACTCAGGTGAAATGAAGCCCTATGCGTAGCCATTTAATCCTCACGATTGCGCATCACAACGCTCGTAAATAATTCATCTTGTGCTCTCTGTGCCATCGCACCAAGACTGTCCTGATCAATCCAACCATTAACCTAACATCATTTTTTGGCACAAATCTAAAATCGGACAGCACCTCTTCACCCGTATCCAATCGCACCCCCGCCCCCCCCCCCCCCCACATACTCGTGCGCTTCTTGGTGACGAGCACGACGCCCTTGCCGCTGGGGTTCGCCTCCACCCCCACCGTCTTCTTGTGGATGAGTCCATTGTAGCGGAACGAGTTGCGAGCCTTCAGGTTGTTGGGCTCCTGGGCACACAAGCCGTGGTGGAGATGCAAGATGTAAGGTTTAACGACGCAACACGGGAAAACAGCGCTCAACACAAAGGTACACACGGACTAAATTGCCTACACCACGCTGATCGTAGAATGTGTGCTAAATGTATCACGTGCAGTAACTGTTGACCGGTCTGAGACCATCAACTCGATATGCATTTGACAACTTGGGAGTTCAATCCACTGGCGGTGCTATCACCTCTGACGTACCCGGCAGCAAAATGATTGAGAAGTGTTCGCTGCTTCTGCGTACAAATCGGCGAGTTTCTACACACGCAGTTTCATCTACAGCCAAATCGCCCAACCAAGGGGAGGCTGCACCCTTAACAGCCTGGCTCGCCAGCGGTATACTCGTGGTTCTGACGGTGCCGGAGGAGGGGTGTGGAGGAGGGGTGTGGAGGAGGTGCCACTCACGGTGCTGAAGGTCTGCTTGTTTCGCTTGATGAGGAAGCTCGAGTTGTTGCGGATAATCATCCACTGCAGGTGTGCAGACATGGTGGCGACGATCTGCGCAGACCACGCGCGCAGGGACGTGAGCACGCGCAGCCGCCACTCGCCGGCACCGCAGCCGAGCCGCGCAGAACGAGGCGCCCCCCTCTCCCACGCTGCCCCACGAGCGAGTCTCCCTCAACGCGTCAGACCTAGGAAGCTCAGCGTGCTCGAGCCTGGCTCGTGCCTTCATGATGGGACTACCTGGGAATGCCACGCGTTGTAAGCTTCGGCTGCAAGTTGGCCAGTGGCACACAGCACCGGCACACAACTGCGCTTTTGTATCTTACTGCCCAGACAATATCAATGTGTTCTATTCGCACTATATTTCATTATAAACGGTCCGAATCTAAAATTGTACATTGAAATTGTATATTAAACTTAAAGGGTGAATTCAAATTATAACGATTTGTCAGAGCATACATTTACATTTTGTCCAACTGCCTGAATTAAATATTCAATCAACATGGCCTAAATGTTACATTTCTTGTTTTGGATTATTTAGTTTTGATCCTGTTACGATTGTGATTCGTCTCCCTTAAGAAAAGTGCTCCCACGTGTTGTTCGTCAACCAAGGGTGCCTGTCCGTATGAAGAGACGAGCACACCGACTGGGACATTTACACTGGCACACACACCACGAAACACGGCTCCACGGTCCAGGCACGCAACACGTGTACCGACACAGCAGTAAACTACAGCATCAAAGGCGCACACACACACGTACACATCAGCTCTTCTACACTGGCCCCGACAACACACCAACCGGGAACTCATCGCCCCAACACAAACGATTCACGACACACTGCTGTACACATTCCAATCACTCACAGAAACACAAACGCAAGCCAACATTAGGAAAGTAAACTCAGGAAGGCCCTCACAAAGACCCCATTTTATGAATAAAAAAAATTAGTTTATGAATGCCGCCTAGACGAGAATGCTCGCACTAACGCTCCCTATACACGCTCAATGTCCTCCTCCAATTCCCGCTTCAAACTGCTCCCTCCATATACAATCACCAATGCCCTGTCCCCTATATATTCTGCCCACATTAATGCCCTTAAAAATACTAACGCAACCCAATGTACACAGTAATGCCCCCTAGACACCAATGACCCCCCCCCAACAAAACATAATTCCCCAAATACACAACACCCCCTACATCACATTACTGTACTCCCTGCACCCACACGCACAGCACGAACACAGCAAGGCCTACAAAAACCCCATACACAAACTAATGCCCCCTGCCGCCCCCTACACACACGAATGCCCCCTACACCCCTCAATGCCCCGTACACTATGCCCATGCCCCAGCAACGCCTCCCACTCTCGCGAATGCCCCCTACACACCTCAATGCCCCGTACACCATGCCCCCGCAACGCCTCCCGCGAATGCCCCCTACACACCTCAATGCCCCGTACACCATGGCCATGCCCCCGCAACGCCTCCCACACTCTCGCGAATGCCCCACGCCAGCCACCGCCACGAGGTGCCGCCATCTCGGCCGGGCGGCCCAGGGCCTGCAGGCCTCGGGCCGCCCTGCCGCACCGCGAGCTCCCCCATTGCCAGGGATTACCGAGGGGACCGCCAGACAACCAAGGGAGACCAAGGGAGACCAAGCGTACCAGGGGTATAGCGGCGCGAGGGGGTTAAGGGGATAAATTGCGGGGTCCCGGGAACAGCCGCGACACGAACCTCACACCGCCTCGTCCTGGAGAGAGAAAGAAGCGCCGCGGAGGGATGCGCCTTAGCACCCTGGCAGGGATGCCAGAAAATACCGGATGACCGGGGAAAAGAGTGGTAAAGAGGTAAAAGGAAACGAGGAGAAGCGAACGGAGGACAGCTTGTGATCGTTTGAGATGTTTAGGAGAATGATTTGGTGGAAATAAAGGAGAACTATTTTATGTCGGAAAGATACGTGGATGTGGAGGAGGGGAGATGATTGCGCGTGACGTCATCAGCGCGCGCCGGCACGTGGGTGGGGACGGGGATGAATTTGAAATGTGGGCTCGTGGTGGGGGGTAGGTAGAGAGGGGATAGAGGGGATGGGGAGAGCGGGGATAGAGGGGATGGGGAGAGAGTTGGGGGATAGGGAGAGCGGGGATAGAGGGGATGGGGAGAGAGTTGGGGGATAGGGAGAGAGGGGTTAGAGGGGATAGGGAGAGAGCTGGGGGATAGAGGGGATGGGGAGAGAGTTGGGGGGGAGGGATGGGGAGAGAGGGGATAGGGAGAGAGTTGGGGGATAGGGGGAGAGGGGATAGAGGGGGTGGGGAGAGAGTTGGGGGGGGATGGGGAGAGAGGGGATAGAGGGGATAGGGAGAGAGTTGGGGGATAGGGGGAGAGGGGATAGAGGAGATGGGGAGAGAGTTGGGGGATAGGGAGAGAGGGGATAGATGGGATGGGGAGAGAGTTAAGGGATAGAGGGGATGGGGATAGAGTTGGGGGATAGGGAGAGAGGGGATATAGGGAGAGGGGATAGAAGGGATGGGGAGAGAGTTGGGGGATAGGGAGAGAGTTGGGGGGGGGGGGGATGGGGAGAGAGTTGGGGTATAGGGAGAGAGGGGATAGAGGGGATGGGGAGAGAGTTGGGCGGGGGGGGGTAGGGAGAGAGGGGATAGAGGGGATTGGGAGAGAGCTGGGGGATAGGGAGAGAGGGGATATAGGGGATAGGGAGAGAGGGGATAGAGGGGATGGGGAGAGAGCTGGGGGGGGGGGGATGGGGAGAGAGTTGGGGGATAGGGAGAGAGGGGATAGAGGGGATAGGGAGAGATGGGATAGAGGGGATGGGGAGAGAGGGGATAGAAGGGATGGGGAGAGAGTTGGGGGATAGGGAGAGAGGGGATAGATGGGATGGGGAGAGTTAAGGGATGGGGAGAGAGTTAAGGGATAGGGAGAGAGTTAGGGGATAGAGAGAGGCGATATAGGGGGTAGGAAGGGAGTTAGGGGATAGGGAGAGGGTTATGGAATAAAGGGGATAGGGAGAGAGGATATGGGAAGAGTTATGGGAAAAGGGTGGAGTTATGGGATAGGGGAAGAGCCTAGGGCAACGTTTAGGGTTACAATTAGGGCTACATTCGGGGTAGGATTATAGGCCAAGGTTAGTCCCAATGACTCCGCCCATCGGTGCACAGCTGACGATTTAAGCGCCCGTTACTGACCGTGTAGGGGGCCCGTGCCCCCCCCCCCCCACCCCCCCACAAATGGGCGGCATTGATTTGACTAAGTTGTCATGGACGTTTTGATTTCCTTCTGTCTTTCACGCCAACCCCCAGTCAACCACCAAACACAAACACCCCTCTCGAACGATCACGAATATTCATTACCCCGCCTGTCCACCCAGGCCAAATGTTCCCAGTCTGGAGCTTTGTCGCTTCAGAGTGTCATCTCATTTGAGTTATATGGAGATATTCTTCCAGCATAGGGATGATTGACCAACACGAGTTACATTGTGGGGTTGTTTAAGGAGAGAACATTGAAACTCCACGTGGAGAGGCGCCCCAGTAGAGAATCGAGTTTCTTGCTGTGTTACCACTGTGACCCGCATGGCGTTCATACGACAGGAGCCACCTTCAAATCGACACAATCACTGTTCACAATTACAGCAGAAAAATGTTATTGTGCTCATTGCAAGAGCTGGTCCATGGACCAGAGCAGCTCTGAGGGTGTGTCTAATACTCCGTTAGCTGCGTGTGACTTGATTTGTGTAACTTTGTGGTGGTGATGGTGATTGTGGTGGTCGTGGTGATGGTGATTGGTAGTGGTGGCAGTTATGGCGGAGATGTTGGTGATGGTGCTGGCCTCCCACCCCCTCGTGTGCCGTGGCGGTCTTCATTGGGTGCTCGCTAACAGCACTTGCTCCAACATTTTAAGGCGACACGGGGGTTTTTTGTCTTTGGCGATGTTGAGAATGTTTGGCATCTGTCAATTCGTCTATTTTCTGGATACTTGTTACAATCGACACTTTAAACGCCGTTACCAAACGAGATATTCCGTCTCAAGGGACTGTTTATCGGGGTGAAATTATTGAATAATAAATAGTCAAATAATTTTCCTTCCCCAGACACTTCTGGGCCACAGCGCCGCCTAGTGGCAGCAAGGCGCTACCGCCGCGACCCCGTGCGACGTGGCAGGCCGAGGGGTGGAGAGAAGGCGGGCAGCAGCACCCCCTTTCCGCGACCCCGGGGTCTCTGGTCGGTCCGCTTCTCTCGGACCCAGCTGAGTCTGCCATGGCCCACGAGGGCGCGATCCGGGTGGCCGAGGACGCGGCAGACAAGGTGAGGACCCCTGGGGAGACGCCGGGAGACGGTGCGAGACACGGGCCGAGCGAGACTTGTGGGGTTGGTCGGGGGCGGTGGGCCGGGATGGTGCCTGGCTGTGTCTCCTCTTGGCTAACTCTCTCCCCCTGTCTCTCCCTGTGTCTCTGTCTCTCGCTGTCTCCTCTTGGCTAACTCTCTCCCCCTGTGTCTCCCTGTGTCTCCCTGTCTCTCTGTCTCTCGCTGTCTCCTCTTGGCTAACTCTCTCCCCCTGTGTCTCCCTGTGTCTCCCTGTCTCTCTGTCTCTCGCTGTCTCCTCTTGGCTAACTCTCTCCCCCTGTCTCCCTGTGCATCCCTGTGTCTCCTCTTGGCTAACTCTCTCCCCCTGTCTCCCTGTCTCTCTGTCTCTCGCTGTCTCCTCTTGGCTAACTCTCTCCCCCTGTGTCTCCCTGTGTCTCCCTGTCTCTCGCTGTGTCTCCTCTTGGCTAACTCTCTCCCCCTGTGTCTCCCCGTGTCTCTCTGTCTCTCCCTGTGTCTCCCTGTCTCTCGCTGTGTCTCCCTGTCTCTCGCTGTGTCTCCCTGTCTCTCTCTCTGTGTCTCGCTGTCTCTCTCTGTGTCTCGCTGTGTCTCCTCTTGGCTAACTCTCTCCCCCTGTGTCTCCCTGTGTCTCGCTGTGTCTCCCTGTCTCTCTCTGTGTCTCGCTGTGTCTCCCTGTCTCTCTCTGTGTCTCGCTGTCTCCTCTTGGCTAACTCTCTCCCCCTGTGTCTCCCTGTCTCTCTCTGTGTCTAGCTGTCTCTCTCTGTGTCTCGCTGTGTCTCCTCTTGGCTAACTCTCTCCCCCTGCGTCTCCCTGTGTCTCGCTGTCTCTCGTTGTCTCTTACAAACTGGCTCCGTGCTCAGTTGCCGTTCTTGTCTGTCTCCCTGTCTGCGTCTCTGTCTCACTGCTCCTCTGTCTCTATGTCTGTCTCACTGTCTCCATGTATTTCCTTTCAAGGCTGAGCATTGTATTGTATTGTCTATCTCTTCTTGTCTCCCTGCATGTGTGTGTCTCTTCCAGTCTCGCCGTCTCTCCTTGCCTCTCGATGTCTCTCTGCCTCACTGTGTCCCCGTGTCTCCGTCGTCTCCGTGTCTCTGTCGTCTCCCAGCCCAGCTGCAATACTTGTGTCTCTGCGTCTCCCTGTCTCTCCTCGTCTCCCCCTGTCTCCCCCTGTCTCTCTGCGTGTCTCCTGTCCCACTGTACCGTGTCCTCTCAGCCGCTGTACCCCGCCTGCATCTCCCTTGGCCCCTGCTCGGAGGCCTTTGAGGGGGGTTGCGGTGGAACGGCGAGGGGATATCCGGACCCCCGTTGAGGGAGTCACCTGCGCGGCCAGTGACCCCCTCTTCAGGTCATCTGGTCTGCACGTGCATGTCCAGCCCTGTTAATCCACTGCTGGATGAGGGTCGTGCAATGGAGTTATTTGTCTATCCATGCTGAACACTGCGTGTGGGTGCTCGGTGTAGGGTGTATGTTAGTTGAACTTCTTTCGCACCGTACGTATCCAACCGTACCACTCGGTGGTGTGGTGCATCGACCCGCAGTCAGACAACGTGTCTTGCCACACTGCCCTCTGCCTTCCTCCCACAACGAAGCTCAGCAGGAGCCAGGCTCAACGCCTGCTTGGCTTCTGAGACCGGCGCGTCCCGGGTCACGGGCCGTGAGCGAACCCAGCAGAGTGACCGCCCCATTTAGGGGGTTCGGCCCTGCGGGGTGGTCATTGACCTCCCCTGTGGGGTGCCCTGGTGAATGGCTCCCATCGGGGTCACGGGCGGGGGGGGGACATTTGTGGGATGCGAGTTTGTGATCATAGGACCCTAGGAACCAGACGATATAACCAAAGCGGATGCTGGGATGATGGTGATGCTATTACGATGATAATAATATAGATGGTCATATTAGTGATGCTAGGCTGATAAGATGATGGTACTCTTTGTTTTTAACAGTAAAGTCACGTAGATAAAATGAAAATATAATAATAAAACAACTAAATTAAATCAAGTGATGCAGCTATCTTGCTGTGACTGTTCCACCTGAAGAGGGAAGCTTGTGTTGCCTCCGAAACGTCGTGATTTAATTTAGTTGTTTTATTATATTATTTTTATTTTACCTACGTGACTTTACCGAAAAAAATCAAAGAGTATGAATCCTTGCAGTCACGAAAGCTTCAAATCTAGAATAAATGATGATGGTGATGATGCTCTGGTAATAATGATGATGATCTCGATGCTGGTATAATGATGATGCTGTTGATAATGATGAAAGGTGGTCATGATAGTTCATGCTGGAATTATCATGTTGAGATGATAATTATGCAGATTATGATGATGCTGATAATTATGATTATACTGGCACGATAAATGCAATGATAATAATGGTGATCATAATGGTTGGAATGATGAGGGTAATGATGGTGATGCGAATGTTGCGATGGTGATGATGACCGTTCATGTCCGAGGCCCCTGCCACTAATGAGGTCGTGATGTCCCTGGCTGGCGTGAAATCGGCGTCACCAGCAGCGTGGCAGCGTCTAGCGCCGTTGGGGCGATTCATTAGGTCACTGACGACAACATTGAGCTTCATTATAGATAATTTTATAGATAATGAAGCTCATGAACTTATACAACACCCCCTTGCATCTCTTAACACACCTGTGTCTCTCTGTAACTCATCTATGTACCTGTGTAAATTTCGATTTAAAGCTTTCGTGACTGCAATGATTCATCTTCTTTGGTTCTTTCGGTAAAGTCACGTAGAATGAGAATAAAATAATAAATTGATAAAATAAAATAACACAATAATATGAGAATATTATTGTGTTATTTTAATAAAATAACACAATAATATGAGAATATTATTGTGTTATTTTATTTTATCAATTTATTATTTTATTCTCATTCTACGTGACTTTACCGATATGTACCTGTGTCTCTAACTATGTCTCTCTGTAACACATCTGTGTGCCTCTGTCTCTCTCTGTAACACACTCGTCTATCTCTGTCTCTTTGTTACACACTCGTCTGTCTCTGTCTCTCTGTAACACACTCGTCTGTCTCTGTCTCTCTGTAACACACTTGTCTATCTCTGTCTCTCTGTAACACACTCGTCTATCTCTGTCTCTCTGTAACACACTCGTCTGTCTCTCTGTAACACACTCGTCTATCTCTGTCTCTCTGTAACACACTCGTCTGTCTCTGTCTATCTGTAACACACTCGTCTGTCTCTGTCTATCTGTAACACACTCGTCTGTCTCTCTGTTACACACTCGTCTGTCTCTGTCTATCTGTAACACACTCGTCTGTCTGTCTCTCTGTAACACACTCGTCTGTCTGTGTCTCTCTGTAACTCACTCGTCTATCTGTCTCTCTGTAACACACTCGTCTATCTCTGTCTATCTGTAACACACTTGTCTGTCTCTGTCTCTCTGTAACACACTCGTCTATCTCTGTCTATCTGTAACACACTTGTCTGTCTATGTCTCTCTGTAACACACACGTCTGTCTGTCTCTCTGTAACACACTCGTCTATCTCTGTCTATCTGTAACACACTCGTCTGTCTCTGTCTCTCTGTAACACACTCGTCTATCTCTGTCTCTGTCTGTCTGTAACACACTCGTCTATCTCTGTGTCTCTGTAACACACTCGTCCGTCTCTGTCTGTCTGTGACACACTCGTCTGTCTCTGTCTCTGTCTCTCTGTAACACACTCGTCTGTCTCTGTAACACACTCGTCTATCTCTGTCTCTCTGTAACACACTCGTCTGTCTATGTCTCTCTGTAACACACTCGTCTATCTCTGTCTCTCTGTAACACACTCGTCTGTCTCTGTCTCTCTGTAACACACTCGTCTGTCTCTGTCTCTCTGTAACACACTTGTCTGACTCTGTCACTCTGTAACACACTCGTCTGTCTCTCTGTAACACACTCGTCTGTCTCTGTCTATCTCTAACACACTCGTCTATCTCTGTCTATCTGTAACACACTCGTCTGTCTGTCTCTCTGTAACACACTCGTCTATCTCTGTCTATCTGTAACACACTCGTCTGTCTCTGTCTCTCTGTAACACACTCGTCTGTCTCTGTCTCTCTGTAACACACACGTCTGTCTCTGTCTCTCTGTAACACACTCGTCTATCTCTGTCTCTCTGTAACACACACGTCTGTCTCTGTCTCTCTGTAACACACTCGTCTATCTCTGTCTCTCTGTAACACACTCGTCTGTGTCTGTCTATCTGTAACTCACTCGTCTATCTCTGTCTCTCTGTAACACACTCGTCTGTCTCTGTCTCTCTGTAACACACTCGTCTGTCTCTGTCTCTCTGTAACACACTCGTCTGTCTCTGTCTCTCTGTTACACACTCGTCTGTCTGTGTCTCTCTGTAACTCACTCGTCTATCTCTGTCTATCTGTAACACACTCGTCTGTCTGTCTCTCTGTAACACACTCGTCTGTCTGTGTCTCTCTGTAACTCACTCGTCTATCTGTCTCTCTGTAACACACTCGTCTATCTCTGTCTATCTGTAACACACTTGTCTGTCTCTGTCTCTCTGTAACACACTCGTCTATCTCTGTCTATCTGTAACACACTTGTCTGTCTATGTCTCTCTGTAACACACACGTCTGTCTGTCTCTCTGTAACACACTCATCTATCTCTGTCTATCTGTAACACACTCGTCTGTCTCTGTCTGTCTGTGACACACTCGTCTGTCTCTGTCTCTCTGTAACACACTCGTCTGTCTCTGTCTCTGTCTCTCTGTAACACACTCGTCTGTCTCTGTAACACACTCGTCTATCTCTGTCTCTCTGTAACACACTCGTCTGTCTATGTCTCTCTGTAACACACTCGTCTATCTCTGTCTCTCTGTAACACACTCGTCTGTCTATGTCTCTCTGTAACACACTCGTCTATCTCTGTCTCTCTGTAACACACTCGTCTATCTCTGTCTCTCTGTAACACACTCGTCTGTCTATGTCTCTCTGTACTACACA